TATATGTATATATACTTACATATATATACATTTGTATGTATATATTTTGTTTACGTATTTAGGTGTTTTTAAATGTGTACCCTCATACTTCATTTGTATAGATGTGATTCTGATTTCTAGACATATGGTATCGGCATAAGTGGTTTTGTCTAGTATACACAATACCCTAGTGGTTTTATTTTATACTATTTGGCTCTGTGAATGAAAGATATATATATATATACAATGGTAAGTTGTATTCATATTTTATTTTATGAACAGTATAAAATGATTGTGCATCTATATTTCCATTGTTTATAATGTCCTTGCCTGGAGGTATGTGAACGCCTTTGTTTATATATACTCACTAGCTATCTGGCTTATGTAATACAACGTGAGCACGAGATCCGGTCTGTGTCAATTTGCTTCTTCTGACCTATTTCCACATCTAATTGTTTGTAGGCTTGGTCGAAACCTCTCCCAAGTCTGAACGGGGCGGATCGTTCCATCGTGCCACAGGCGTCTTCCGACGAAGGGTAGATTTATGTGTCATCAAATTGTTTTCTAGTTCTACAGTCTGAGAAGAGTATCAACATTTGTGATCGTGTGTTTATTTTTTGTGGTTATTGCCAATAATCGTAGCAGAATATATAGCAACATACTTAAGCATTCCGGGACTTTCGTCTCTTTCTGTATTGTAGAGCTCGTATCTCGTACCATGGGTCTAAAAGTGGAAGAAAAAAAATATGCCCCTTTGGTTGTGACTAAAACGATCGTAAATCAAAATAGGAAAACATTCCTAGGCTGATACTTATTCAAACAAAATTCAGCAACCATATCACAAATTTTTGCTTGACTGGCAGTGTTTTAAAAAAGTGACATTTGACCCCATACAGCAAACCATATCAAAGCTACATATCGAACAGAAACCCAAAATATATAGTCGGAATACGTTTATCCGGCCGGTGCAATACATACCTAATGATGCACAGGTGGCTCTTCTAATATTTTGTCGTTCCTTGCAGATCAGTTGTGTATGTCAGCAGATTAGCACTAGAGACGGGGGCATTGCAATGAACTTATATTTCTACCCAACATCTCTCGAAGCCATTCTTCCGTGACGATATTTGTACAAGAAAGTATACGAGCCAAATTTTACCTACTATAATTTTACTCGGATTGATTCCATTCTGAGTGCCGACCTTCGGCCATGTGCATCACCCAAGTGCCCCGCGGATATAACACTTTGTCTCACATCTTGCACGTGCACATCGTCATGACAGTCACATAACAAAAAGAAGGGCGATGCCGATCTCCACAATGGACTAGGCACAACAGAGTGCATGGGACCGCTAGAAGCCCCTGGACTATCAAGAATAGCTAGCGGTGTTCTGGAGGAAGAAATAGAGTAAGTCATTCCACAGTTGATCGAGTGATGGGTACAATCATACTCCTTTGAGTCACAGGGTTGTGATCTGTGAGTTTGTTGGGTGTAGCATCTGTGGCTATAAACGGGAGTACATTGTGTTGGAAAGTGAAATTTGGGGTTCAACTTGGATTATATCTAGAGGTAATTTGAGGTGCTATACAAAATCCTACACTTTACATATCGTATGTTATATCATAGCCTTAAAAATAGTTGAGTTGGTTGAATTCGCTCGTCAGCTTTCAGTAATCGTGACATAGTTACTGACTTAAAATTAGGTACAACTTCGTTTTTGGCGTGAGAAGGGGTCGGGTATTACACACTATCGATTGCTACTATACAATACGGGCTACCGGGTCTGACCAGTGCGATGATTTTGTTATACCTGGCATGATCCGTGCGATGTATTTTATATTACCTATATGTGTGATGATTTTATATGACCTGGGCTGACCAGTGCGATGTCTTTTATAATACCTGTATAAAAGTGCGATGCTCCTATATTATCTGACATGACCAGTGCGATGTATTTTATACTACCTATATAAAAGTCCGATGTATTTTATACTGCCTATATAAAAGTCCGATGTATTTTATACTACCTATATAAAAGTGCGATGATTTTATATCACCTGGGATGACCAGTGCGAGATATTTTATATTACTTGGCATGACCAGTGAGATGCATCCTTACGTGACCTGGCTTTTTGGTGTGGAAAATGATGCTATAGTGATGATACAGAGCAGATTGCACTGCCTACTTTCAACTCGTTTTAGTCCCAGCTTTCTGATACGGTTTAATTGTTTGATCTTAGCAAACAGTATTGGCTTTTCCTAGTAATGTTCCAGATTCTCCTGCATTGAAAAACGGATCAGTGGTAGTGGCTAGCGTCATCACATGTATGTAGGTGTATTTCACCATTGGAAGCAGCAGATGGTTGTTGACATATGTGCCTGCAATATTCCTAATTCGGACATACAGAGTACAGTCCCTGGATCGTACGCAGTCTAACGCAGAAAATGACATTACAGTGAAGCCAATGGAGGTCAACTACATGAGTAGTGCAAGCGACGACACGTTGTCGAGGAAAGTTCGGGACTCAAGGACGGGTAAGTCGTGAGTGATGTAGAATAAATAAAGGACCTTATTCATGATAACCCGAACTCTACTTATGTACCGATCGTATACAGGCTACCGAGAAATAATGTGTCAGCGCTTATGTCCTCGGCTATTCTAACATTATTATCCTTGCATCGATATGAGTATCAGATTTGGATGTACTTAAAAGCTGTACTCGGACGAATTACTAGAATCATTATAAATACTTAGATACTAAGGCGAGTTGTTTCGTGGATCGCCACAGTCAAAAAATTTACACATTTTCAGTATTTGATTCGTGCGCCCTGAAAATTAAAAAACGAACTGAGGGAAACCTGTCCGTCTGTGCGTATACGTGGCTATATATATATATATATATATATATACATATATATATATATATATATTAAAATGCTGTATTCTTTA